AGGTGACCAGGTCTGCACGGGAGGACAGTTAGGGGTGACCAGGATGGCAAAGGAGGGCAATTAGGGGCAATCAGGCCGGCTGGGGAGCAGTTAGGCATCGATCAGGTTGGCAGGGGAGTGGTTAGGGGGTGATCAGGCTGGTAGGCAGAAGCGGTTAGGGGCAATCTGGCAGGCAGGCAGGTGAGGGTTGGGAGCCAGCAGTTCTGGATTGTGAGGAGTCCCAGATTGGAGAGGGTGCAGACTGGACACCCCCCTCCAGTACATGAATTTTGTGCACTGGGCCTCTAGTTAATTAATAAAATTATATAGGTTTCAAGTGTACAATTCTATAATACATCATCTGTACATTGTATTGTGTGTTTACCATTCCAGTGAAGTCTTTTTCCATCTGAATTTATCCCCTCTTTACCCTTTTCTATTTCTCCCCACCACTCTTTTCCTTTTTGTAATCTCCATAATGTTGTCTGTGTCTATGAGGTGTTTTTTTTTTTGTAACCTCTTTACCTTTTTTAACATGCCCACTCCAAACCTATCCCTTCTAACATCTGTCAGTCTGTTTTCTGTATCGATAAGCCTGCCTCTATTTCGTTTATTTTGTTCATTAGATTCGATATATAAGTGAAATCATATGGCAACTGTCTTTCTCTGATTGGCTTATTTCACTTAGCATAATATTGTCTAGGTCCATCCATACTGTCACAAAAAGGTAAGAGTTCCTTATTTTTTTAATGGTTAAGTAGTACACCATTGTGTAAATGTACCACAGCATTTTTATTCACTCATCTGATGAACATTTGGGCTGCTTCCAAATTTTGGTTATTGTAAATAATGCTGCAATGAACATAGGGATGCATGTGTTCTTTTGAATTAGTGTTTCAGGTTTCTTCAGCTATAGTCCCAGAATAGAATTGCTGGGTCATAAGGCAGTCCTATTTTAAATTTTTTTTGAGGTTACTCCATATTGTTTTCCATAGTGGATACTTATTTAGTAAATAGATACTTTTCCTTATGTTCTATTATTTTTTATTAACTTATTTCTCAAGCCTCACATTTTCAAAGGGTAGACAGGAAAAGGCCACATATCTCTACAGGAATCCTAATTAGGGCAGGACTTTAGAACTAATATTATAAACTTGTTGATTTGACATAAGTGCATTGAGTCATAAAAAGTGCCATTCATACTCAAAGGATGAAGGTTTGTATTACATATGTGCATATGATAACTATAAAAATTAAAATTATTGATTTGATTTTGAAAACTGACTATATGTCATTGCTGTGCTGACTGCTCAGTAGGTACTAAAGGGACATGAAACTTTCATGTGATTAAAAAAAAGACACCAACTTGATATCTGAAGTCTTTGCTTGAGTCCCACCACAAACTCTCACTGTGTGATCTCTGGCAAAACATTCTGAGTATTATCTATAAAATTGGGTAAATATCTGTGTAACATGACTGTTATGTAGATAAAATGAAGTCATGTTTATAAAATTTCTCAACAAACTATGTTTGATATCCAAGTGTTAAGAGCTCAAGCTCTGTAGAAACAGTCACAGTTTAAACCCTCATTTCACCACTCACTAGACTTAAACATGTGTCTGAATCACCATCTCCCTATCACCTCATTTGTAGTTTGGTAATACTGACATTACTCAGCTCAGAGCACTGCTGAGAGGAATAAAATACTTGGCAATGACACATCTGATAAAGGGTTAATATTCAAAATATATAAGGAACCCATATACAACTTAACAAAAGGAAGACAAACAATCCAATTTAAAAATGAGCAAAGAACCTAGACACTTCTCCAAAATGGACATATAGATGGCCAAAAGACATATGAAAAAATGCTCAAAGTCAATGATCATCAGAGAGATGCAAATTAAAATGATAATGAGGTATTACCTCAGACCTGTAAGAATGGCTACCATCAACGAATCAATAAATGACAAGTGCTGGCGAGTGTGTAGAGAAAAGGGAACTCTAGTACACCGTTGGTGAGAATGCAGACTGCTACACCAGTATGGAAAACAGTATGGAGCTTCCTCAAAAAATTAAATATGGAACTACAATTTAACCTAGTGATCTCACTTCTAAGTATTTAACCTAAGAAACCTAAAATACCAATCAGAAAGAATATATGCTCCCCTATATTCATATAGCAGGGCAAATTACAATAGCTAAGATCTGGAAACAGCCCAAGTACCCATCAGTGGATGAGTGAATAAAAAAGCTGTGGTACATTTACACCATGGGATTCTATACAGCAGTAAGAAAGAAGGCTCTCTTACCCTTTGTGACAGCATGGAGGGACCTGGAAGTATCATCTTAAGTGAAATAAACCAGTCAGAAAAAGATAAATATCACATGATCTCACTCATATGTGGAATCTAAAGAACAAAATAAACTGATAAACAAAATATATCCAGAGACATAGACGCATGAAATAGACTGTGGAATCTCAGAAGGAAGACAAAGGCTGGTGTGTGGGTGTGTGGGAAGAGATCAATCAATGAACTTGTATGCATACATGCCTAACCATGTTCACAGACAATAGGATAGTGAAGGTCTGGGGCAGGGAAACAGGGGAAGGCTAGAACAGGCAATGAGGAGAAAGGGGGACATATATAATATTTTTAACAATAAAAATTACTTTTAAAAATTAAATAAAACATTTTCTAGAATAAGATGAAATACTGTCATTTACAACAATATAGATGTATCTTGAGAGTATCATATATCATGCTAAGCCAAACAAGTCAGACAGAAAAGGACAAAAAACATGATTTCATTCTTACATGAGATATGAAACAGAAAGCAATAAATGAAAAAAACAAACTCATAAACACATACAATAAAAGGGTGATTACCAGAGAGAAAAGAATGGGGAGAGAATAAAAAGAGTAAAGATGGTCAAATATATAGTGAGAGACAAAGATTAGACTTAGAGTGGTGAACAGATAATGTTATTAACCAATGTCACCCCAATAAATTTAAATTTTTAAAAACTGGCTAAAACTTTAGACAAGTTACAAAACATATTTCCTTTTCTATAATACACATTTGTTTTTCACCATATTAATTAGCACTTCCTTATATTAGTTCTTTACAAGACATTTAAAGTACTGCAAACCACATTCATGCTGAAGACTGGTATATTCAGGAGTTTCAATTTTATCATTTTGGGGGGATTGTTAAGTAAAAAATTCAATGGAATTATTCCCAAAAACCTACCATCAAATTCTTGCTCCTTACCCTCCCTGACCTATTTTTATCATGGCAAAGTAGTTTGTACTCCTGGACTTCCAGTAAATATCTCTAGAACTTGATTCAGTGGACTTAAGTGGCAGAGTAGTTGCCTGGGAATAAGCTGAATGGATAAGGAAATTATTTGTATACTAGAGGCCAGATGCACAAAGATTCGTGCAAGAATAGGCTTTCCTTCCCCTGGCTGTCAGCACTGCCTTCACTCCAGCCAGGAGCTGCCTTTCCGCCTTCACTCCAGCCTGGAGCCGCCTTCTGCCTCTTGTCTTGTTGTGTCAATTTGCATATCCCCTCCTTATTGGCGGTGGTCGCTGCCATCTTTGTCATGGAATTACAGTCAATTTGCATATTCCATCTTTATTAGATAGAATATAAAAGCATAATAAGCAAACTGTTCCCTCAAGAGTTCGACCAGGAGACCAGGAGTGAAATTGTTAGCTATGATGTGCACTGATCACCAGAGGGCAGCACAGAATGAAAGTAGACCCCTGGTAGCAGCCAGCAGTGGGGAAGGCCCCAGCCGGCAGCCAGAAGGCCCCATTAGCCCTGATCATTGGCCAGGCCTAGGGACCCTACCCGTGCACGAATTTTGTACACTAGGCCTCTAGTATCAAACATACTTCTCAACAAGTTATAACTTTCTATCATACACATCCCTAATGGTAGGAGACAGAATGGTTATGAGGAGAAAGCTTGACTAGTCTAGCTTTCCTGTGGCCTATATGTTGAGTACATGATCCTATATGTTGAGTACAGCAAAAGAGAAATATGCCAGTCTATATACTATTTTTGCATACTAGGGTACATATTCCTTGCTTCTTAACTTACTAGAGGCCTGATGCACAGATTTGTGTACTGGTGGGATCTTTCAGCCTGCCTGCAGGGATTGGGCTGAAACCGGCTCTCCTACATCCCACGAGGTCCCAGATTGTGGGAGGGCAGTTCTCGGGTGATGAACCCCTAAATCAGCCTCCCTCCTCTCTGATTCCAGGTATGTCACCTGAGAAATGCAGCTGCCAAGTCACCATAGCTCGGCAGCTCCTGCATTGAGTGTCTGCCCCCTGGTGGTCAATGCACGTCATGGCTACTGGTTGGAGTGTCTGCTCCACGGTGGTCAGAATTGAACCGTGACTTCCTGGTTCATAGGTTGACACTCAACCACTAAACCACACCAGCTGGGCAATTTCTATTTTATTTTTTATGATAAATTTAGTGTAATGGCCAGACTACCTTTATAATAAAGGAAATACTTCAAATATTGACTAGCTTTACTTACACATACAAAATAGGTTGAGGATAAGGAAAGAGGGTAAAAAATAAAACTATAAGAGGGTCAAGAACAGAAAGATGGGCAAATGGAGGAAAGGTTGGAAAGATAAATTTGAGCTGGGGATGAGGGGTAGGGGTAGTGGATTACAAGAAGCTGGGTAGGGACAGGGGTGGAGCTTGGACTATTGCCTCAAGGTCTAAGTGGTACTGAGAACTATAAAAGCCTGGTAGAACCAAAGGAAAGTATCCTGAAGTCCAGGATTGGCACACTGGCAGAGGCTGGTAGGTGGCAGCAGCTGCAGTCTCTAGACAAAGACTGAAATGCCCAGAACAAGAGAGATAAGGTCCAGGATGCTGTGCCTATTCTTGTTCCACCTGCTAGGAATTTGGCTGCTACTGAGCCAACTTCCCAGGGAGGTCCAAGGCCAGGACATGGAAGTTTTTACTAAGTGCAACCTCGAATTAGTCCGTTTCTTCATCAGTGTTTGCGGCACTCACATCTGGGCAGAGGACATGAGGAAGCAGCGTAAGACAAGATCTGGACCATCTACAGGTGAGAGCTGCTGGTGCCTAAAAATTTGAGTTGTTCCCTTATAACTTGCTTTTCTAGTAAGGGTCTTACCAGGGATTTTGGCAGAGCAAGGCAAAGCTATGGGAACAGTAAACAGTCTTATCTGAGAGGCATGCCCTTCACCTCTTGGCAGCCAGGGAGACTCAGTGGGGAGAAGGGGATAGCCACAGAGGAGATAAGACTGCCCAAAGACCTGTAAAAGGCAGGGAAAATTGGGGCTAGACCCCAGAGTCAAGGTCTGTGGCCTGGAGAGCAGGATTGCTGCTGGATGGGGCAACTGGGCGGGGCATCTTGACAGGATAGGGAGCAGTGAGGTATGAACCAGTTATCATACCTCACAGAACTAGAGACCTCCCATAGGGTCCTGAAAGGTGGTCATGAAAGCCTTAGATGTAACAACTCTCTTCCTCTGTTAAAAAATAAAAAAATAAAAAATAAAATGCTGGGCCATGGCCCACGTCATTGAAAACCTCCTGTTTTGTTTTATGCATTTTCTTTGTAAACTTCACCAAAGGGAAGAGCCTAGCTTCCCACTTCTTTTATTTACATGCTTTTACTGATATTTTAGAGGGAAAGGGAGAGAGAGAAACATTGATGAATTAGAGAAATATCAATCAGTGAGAGAAACACTGATTGGTTGCCTCCTGCACACCCCTACTGGGGATTGAGCCCTTCCCTAAGGCAGGCATGTGTCCTGACCAAGAATGGAGCTAGCAAACTCTTGGTGCATGGACACTCAATCAACTGAGCCACACCAGTCAGGGACCCATAGTTTTGAACTGGGTCTTAAAATTCATTTGTGAGAGAAGGGATTGATGATAAAGAAAAGGGCCTTGTCAACTCCAGGAGAAACTGCAAGGGACCAAGAGTCAAAAGAAGTTTGCCCTTCAGGCAGCTAAATGATTTTGTTGCAGAATCACTGCTCAAAATTCAGGTGTGTGTATTAATATGCTAGTAGGCCAAAACATTGAGACAATAGTTCTTGGAGATAAAGGTGTATTCAGTTTGACTGAGGTGACAAATCCATCTGTTCCTAAAAGCAAAAACAGGGAGTTTTTATGTAGCTAGGGAATAAGAGAAGGAGAGTCCCAGGGAACTGAGAGAAGTCTGTATATCTTCAGTCACAGATGATGCTTTTCCATCTCAGACTCCTGAGTGTCAACAGCTGGTCTCAGCTACTTTGAAGACATTCTTTCCTTCTGCAAAACTCAAAAATTCTCCTCGTGACCCTGTAGTTATTTCCTGCTTAACAAAGAGACACAGTACATCAGCAACTTGAGTCCATTTGTGAGAACAAGAGAATTGAGTAGGAAAAGTGCTTAACATGTGAACAAAGACCTGGTTAAGAATTAAATTATTGAATTCTAGTAAAAAAAAAAATACTAGGGGCATTAAAATCACAAGGGGATCAGCTACTATTTGGAGTAAATATTCTGAAGAAGAGAAATTGTTAAATAGTAGATGTATGAGGGTGTCAAGGACTGGTTTCACCTCCCTAAGAGATTGGAACAGTTGAAAATTCTGCCTTTTTAACTTTATCTTGAAGCAGTAATTTTCCACCATAGAATATTTAATAGTTTAAAATAACTAATATACTCTTGAAGGGTTATTATAACTCAGTGGTTACTTAGCAATGGAAGAACATTATATGTGGTCAAACTGAGTGTTTTTAATGACCAAGATGACTTCAGCTATGTCAGGGAGAGGTGAAGGCCTTTGATGAAAGCATTAAGGGGACATAAGGAGAAATAACAGATGGTCCAAGTAGAATAAAACATTATAACCTTGGTAAATTTGTAGTATTTTATACTGTCCAACTATATGAACTAAATTGTTTACATATCAGGATACTTGCTGATTATTTTTGATATTTAATTTTATTGAGGCAATGCTTTCCTTTATATCTATGCAAATTTTTAGTTTTCCTGATGTTTATCGACATGAGTATTTTTTTCTTCTCCCCCTCTTTTTTTAACTTAGAAATCATGCAATTTTCCACCACTAAGAATGCAGGACCCTTAAATATGAGGATGGAATTCATTCCTACTTCTCAACAGGAACTGAAGACAACACTGGCCGAGAAGCAGACATTATTGAAAGAACTACTACAACAAGCTTCATCAAATGATATACATATTACCTTTGAAGAATTTAAGAAAAATGGTCTCCAAAGACACAGTGAAGCAGAAAACAAAAGTCTTTCAGAATTAAAAAACATACGCTTAGTTAAACATTTCCTAAAAAAGAGAGAGGCCCCTTACCTATTATCTAATAAGTGTTGTTATATAGGCTGTACCAAAAAAGAGGTGGCTGTCTTCTGCTGAGATGAAACTAATGGTGCATTTCATGTAATGTTCACATGTATTTGCAATGACATTCACTAATGCCTCTGTTATCCCACTGATTATTAGAATATGAGAAATCATTATTAGTGTTTGGAAATTTAATTATGTAAGAAAATACTCTTTGCATTATTGTAGTTTCTGTTAATAAATATTTTCATGCTAAAAAGTATTTTGTCTTTTTTATAAATGGAATTTTGTTAATTGCTTTTTTAATGCTGATAACTTAAAATGGCAAAAAAAATCTTTATCATTTCAACCACACACAAATAACTCAACCTAAAAATGTTTTAGCTAGATAGTAAAACTCTATGTCTTGCATTAGTAAGAATGGATGTCTATTTTTGAAACTTGTATTTGATAACTTATGATCTGTCACCAATTTTTTCTTCAAGATTTAATATCCAATTTTTCTTTCATTACTTAATATTAAACAAATTATTTTAATAGCAAAATTAAAAACAATTCAGTGTACATAATGACTAACAGGTCCATAAAATAGACAAATATTTTTTAAAATAGATTTTATTGATTTTTTACAGAGGAAGAGAGGGATAGAGAGTTAGAAACATCAATGAGAGAGAATCATCGATCAGCTGCCTCTTGCACACCCCCTACTGGGGTACATGCCCTGGGCTGGAATCGAACCTGGGATTTTCAGTCCACAGGCTGACGCTCTATCCACTGAGCCATATCGGTCTCGGCAGACTAAAATTTTTTTTTATATTAACTCATACTAGATATTGAAAGAGTCACAAAACTTGGAACTTTTCGACAACATTTTTAAAGATTTTTGTGTTGTAATGGACTATCAATTGCAAACAATAAGATTGTACGCTATTTAATTCATTTGGGACCAAATAAACTTAAACGTTTTTCAAACTAGAGTTCTTTTCCTTAATTCTACTGCCTAAGAAGCTAAAAAGTAAATTATGTTTTTTAAGTGGAAAAATAAATAGCTATATATTTAAGAAAATAAGGAACTCAGTGTCCTTATTTATATTACAGAAGAAGTGGTTTAACAGGGGAATGCACTTTATATTTACTATTAGAGGACCAGAGCACGTATTTGTGCTCTGTGGAGTCCCTCAGCTTGGCCTGCAGGGATTAGGCAAAAACTGGCTCTCTGACATCCCTCAAGGGGTCCCCGATTGTGAGAGGGTGGTTCTGGGGTAACACACCCTGGAATCGGGCTCCTACTTCTCTGGTTCCGGGTGCATCACCAGAGAACTGCAGCTGGCAAGTCACTGCAGCTCAGCAGCTCCTGCATTGAGTGTCTGCCCCAGGCAGTTAGTGTGCATTATAGCTACCAATTAGATGGTTGAACGGTCGGATAGTTGCTTAGGTTGCAGAATTTACAAACCATTTCTATAACAAAGTAACTGAATTAATATGAAAACTTGTTAGAATAGTAAATTAACAAATTTATCATTTTAGTATTTACCTAGTTCCTTCAATTTACATAGACGTAAAATTTTAGACAAGTTCACTTAAATACCAAGTAAATCTCCACCAAATGTCTGTGAATTTAAAAGTTTTAAGACAGTAATTCCCATATTTCAAATACTCATACATGATTAATAATAACCAAGCTTTATTAAGTTCTCACCAAGGAAACTTATAAACTTTCATAAGTGGCTGCAAAACCTCAGAGGCCATTAAGACATCTTGGATAAAGCCAGGAAGAGTTCTGTCTGAAATGAAAAGTCCAACCTAAAAGAACAGGGACAGTGATCAGGAAACTTACATCCCAGACAGGACAAAGAGACATCCCTGGACACAGAAGGCATCTCCACAGACCCTACCCTGGCCTAAGTCCCTCATCTGCTCCTCCACAAAAACCCTGGAGGCAGAACTTCTGGTCCAGAATCTGTATTCACTACCTCTAATCATACGGCTACTTAAAAAATTTTTTTTAATTGATTTCAGAGAAGAAGAGAGAGAAAGATAGAAACATCAATGATGAGAAAGAATCACTGATCGCTGCCTCCTGTACAACCCCTACTGGGGATCAAGCCTGACTGGGAATCAAACTGTGACCTTCTGGTTCATAAGTTGATGCTCAACCACTGAGCCATGCCAGTCAGGCTATATTTTTATTATTAACTTAAGTCTATAGTTTACATTAGGGCTTACTCTTTGTGTTATAAATTCTATTTTTTTTATTAATTGACTTGTTTTAGACTAGTTTTAGGTTCACAGAAGATCTGAGTGAAAAGTACAGAAAGCTCTCATATATTCTGTCTTTTCTAGGGCACCTACTCACCTCCCCCCACCCCCAATATTTGTACATTTGTTACAATTGATAAACCAACATTGACATATTGTTGTCAACCAAAGCCCATAGTTTACACCTGGTGTTGTACACTCTATAGATTTTGAGAAATCAATAATGACATGTACCTATTCTTATAATACCATATAGGACAATGTCATTGTCCTAAAATTCCTTCCCTTCCCCCAAATCTCTGCCACCAATTCTTTTACTGCCCCCACAGTTTTGCTTCTCCAGAAACGCATTATCACACAGTATATAGCCTTTTCAGATTGTCTTCTTTCACTTAGTAATATGTCTTATGATTTCTCCAAGTTTTTCCAAAGTTTGATTATTCATTTCTTAATGGCACTGAATAACACTGGCATGGAAGTACTAGTTCTTTTATTCATTCATCTTGGTTGCATTCAAGTTTTGACAATTATGAATAGAGCTGCTATAAAAACATTCATGTACAGGTTTTTGTGTGGACATGTTTCCAAGTCATGTGGGTAAATAGCAAGAAATATAATTGCTAGATGATATGGTAAGAGGATGTTTAGGTGTTTTTTTTATTTTTGTTTTTAAACTTCTAGAAGAGTAACAGACAGTAATATTGAGAAATGTTGAAGTTTTAAGGCATTTTCCCTTCATGAAAACATACTCTTTTTAACATTCAGTATGTTACACTTTATAAGATTTCATTATTTGTAAAATGGGGTTAATGAAAACTATTATTTAGCTTCCATGAAGAATGTTGGGAAAATAATGTTTAAAATGTGATAGAATGGTGTGACCAGTGTGGCTCAATTAGCTGAACATCATCCCATGAACCAGAGGGTCACTGGATGGATTTTTTAGTCAGGTCATATGCCCAGGTTGCAGGCTCAATCCCCAGTATGGAATGTGCATGTTTCTCTCTTAGTGGCATTTCTATCTCTCCTTCTCCCTTCCTTTCTCTAAAATCAATATTTTTTAAAAAAAATAAGATAGGATATATATTGGATATCTTTGAGAAATTTGGTAGATGAAAAATATGTAAATAAAAATGTTATTACTAAAATCTATTGTTTTAGAATGGCAACATACTTCTGTCACCCACAGAAAAGAGAAAATAAAGTGACTGATCTGAAAAAAACAAACACAAAAACATCTAAGCTGTCTTTCAAAGTGGCTGTACCATTTTACATTACCAACAGCAATGAATGAGTTCCTCTTACTCAAATCCTCCCCAGCATTAAGTGTTGTCAGTGTTCTGGATTTTGGTCATTCTAATAGCTGCAATGGTATCTCGTTGTTGTTGTTTTAACTGAATTTACTGGGTGAAATTGGTTAATAAAATTATACAATTTTCAGGTATACAATTCTATAATACATCATCTAAATATTGTATTGTGTTTACCACCCAAGTCAAGTCGTCTTCTTCCATCACCATTTATACCTCTTTACTTTCTTCTACCTCCCCCATACCTCCTTCCTTTTGGCAATCGCTATACTGTTAGTCTGTGTTCATGAGTCTTTCTTTTTTTCTTTGTTTAATCCCTTCACCTTCTCACCCATTCTGTTCTCTGTATCCATGAGTCTGTATCCACATGGTTAGTTTATTTTTGTTCATTAAATCCCACATATAAATGAAATCATGTGATACTTGTATTTTTCTAACTGGCTTATTTCAGGCAGCATAATATTCTCTGGGTCCATTCATGCTATTATGAAAGGTAAGATTGTATTCTTTGTTATGGCTGAGTAGTATTCCTATTGTGTAAATGTAACACAACTTTTTTCTCCCACTCATCTGCTGATGGGCACTTGAGCTCCTTCCAATCTTGGCTATTCTAAATTGAACTGCAATGTACACAGGGGTGCATAAATTCTTTCAAATCTGTGTTTCAATTTTCTTTGGATATAATATCATAAGTAGAGTAGCTGGGTCAAAAGGCAGTTACATTTTTAAGTTTTTGAGGAAACTCTACACTGTTTTCCACAGTGGCTGTACCAATTTGCATTATGGCCAACAGTTTACTAGGTTCCCTTTTCTCCACATCCTTGCCAACATTTGTCATTTGTAGATTTATTGATGATAGCCATTATGAGAGGTGTGAGGTGATATCTAATTGTGGTTTTAGTTTGCATTTATCTGATAATTAGTGACATTTGTCATCTTTTCATATGTATATTGGCCATCTGTATATCTTCTTTGGAGAAGTGTCTAGTCAGGTTCTTTGCCTGTTTTGAAATTGGATTATTTTGGAGGGTTTTTGTTTATTTTTTGGTATTGAATTGAGTTCTTCATAAATTTTGGAATATTAACTCCTTATCAGAAGTGTCTTCCTATTCTGTGGGTTGTCTTTTCATTTTGTTCATGATTTCTCTTGCTGTGAAAAAAAGTTGGTTTGATGCAGTCCCATTTGTTTGTTTGTTTTTTCTTTTGTTTCTCTTGCCCTAGGAGATATATAAGAAAAAACATTGCTGCAAGAAATATCTAAGATTTTACTCTGATAACTGATGAGTCCACCCCTTGAATATGTTACTCATGAAGGTGGTTTAACGGTGCTCCAGCATAGTCTGAATCTGTCCACTGGGTGTACTGGCTCTGGAGCCTTCTGGAAGGTGCAGGCCAAGGTCAGCTATCACGTGTATTCTGCCTGGGGCCATCTATTATGAGCAACAAAGCAATCTGCAGATGGCTTCTACTTGTGCTGGGCTTAAAGGTTCCCAGGAGAGGTCAAGCTGCAAACCAAGGCTGGCTACCACTAGTGCTGGGCTGGTGGCCACTTAGCAAGAGGTATGGGGCATGCTGAGGCCAGATGCTGCTTGTTTGACATATTTTAGAAAAGTCTGGGGCATAAGCCAAGGCAGACCATTTGTATGGGGGAAAAAAACATTGGAAACAGCTTGGATAGGTCCGCCAAGATGGGGAGGGAAGGGTCTCAGTGTAATACCAGAATAGGGTGAACAGTGATATCAGGTTGATGGAGACAGATATGGCACCAGCCCACTGGCTCCATGGGAGAAGGGCTCAAAACACACACACACACACACACACACACACACACACACACACACAATAGCATCTGGCAGCACTGTCCAAGAGAAAACCACCCTTAAGCTCTCACTCTGATACCAGACAATCAGTTTCTTCCTATATGGCCTTGATGCTTTTTGAGCTACTACCCCAATACTGGAGCTCAGAGCATCCGTTAAAATGAGTCCATGTATGGACCCTTTAATAGGAATGCCTGGAACTCCAACAGCCTGCTTTCTCAGCCAAATCCTTGCTGATTTTTATAGGCAGAAGTTATGGAGACTTGTCTTCCTGGAATCCTGGCCTAGGGGAAGGGTGACTGGGACTCCTCGCTTCTCAGGAAGGACTTTCATAGCAAGATATCCCTCCCAACTTTTATCTGCCAAATATGGGTGTGGCACCAGCCCTATTCCACATTTCTGTCCCCCTACCAATTTTGATGTGGAGCTTTTTCTTTAAATCCTTAGTTGTACAATTTCTGTTTACTCCGATTTCATGTGGTTCTGAATGATGGTTGTTCTGTAGTTTAGCTGTAATTTTGATTTGATTGTGGGAGGATGCCCAAGTCCCCAGGACCCATTGTTTTCAATAACTCAGGCCTTTTCTGCTTACCATCTCTGTAATCTTTAGCAAATTTCTTAACTTCTATAAGTCTGAGCTCCCTCATTCATAAAATGGGTATAATTACAGTACTGCTATAATAATTGATGGAGTAAAACATGTATAAGCCTGATGTGGTAAAATCACTCAACAAATAATCTGTCATTATAATAATTCTTTCAAAACATATTTTTGATATCAGACAATACTATATAGTTATAGTAATCATAACAGTATGGTACTGGCATAAAAACAGACACCTAGATCAGTGAAACGGTATAGAAAGCCCATAAATAAACCTACAACTCTATGGTTAATTAATATATGATAAAGATAGCAAGAACATACAAAGACCATATATTCAATCAACGTTGCTTGGAAAATTGGACAGATGCTTACAAAAAGTAAAAATAGAGCACCTTCTTACACCATACACAAGAATAAACTCAAAATTGATTAAAGACTTAAATATAAGACTCAAACCATAGAACTTCTAAAAGAAAACATAGGAAGGAAAAAGAAAGATTTATTTTAGCAATATTTATTTGATTTATCTCCTTAGACAAGAGAAACAAAAGAAAAAAATAAACAAATGGGACTATTTGACGATACATCAAACTAAAATGATTCTGCACAGCAAAGGAAACCATAAACAAAACAAAAAGACAACCTATGAGTGGAAGAATATATTCACCAATGATAGATCCAGTATGGTATTAATATCCAAAATTTATAAAGAATTCATACAACTCAACACAAAACACACACACACACACACACACACACACACACACACACAAATAATTTAATTTTTTAAAAATGGGCGAGAACCAATGGACACTTCTCCAAAGAGGACATACAAATGGCTAATAGATATGTGAAAAGATGCTGAACATCACTAGTCATTAGAGAATTGCAAATTAAAGCCCAATGAGATATCACTTCACACCTGTCAGAATGGCTATATTGATAAATCAACAAACCAGTGTTGGAGAAAGTGTTGAGGAAAGGGAACCCTAGTGCACTATTGGTGGAAATGCAGATCAGTGTAGTCATTATGGAAAACTGTATGGAGGGTCCTCAAAATTAAAAATGAAACTGCCTTATGAACCAGTAATTCCATTTCTGGGTATATATCCAAAGAAACCCAAAGTATAATTCAAAAGAATATATGCACTTCTATGTTCACTGCAGTGTTATTTACAATAGACAAAATATGGAAGTAATCTAAATGCCCATCAATAGATGAGTGGATTGCCAAAATGGTGTGATCAGTGGATAAGCATTGACCTATGAACCAGGAGATCATAGTTCGATTCCCAGTTAGGGCACATGCCCAGGTTGCAGGCTCAATCCCCAGTGGGGAGCATGCAGAAGGCAGCTGATCAATGATCCTCTCTCATCACTGATGTTTCTATATCTCTCTTTCCCTCTCCCTTTGTCTCTGAAAAAAAAAATTAATAAATGAGTGAATAAAAAAAGCAGTGGTACAGAGAAACTATGAAATATTACTTGGGCATAAAAAAGAATGAAACCGCCAAAACCGGCTTGGCTCAGTGGACAGAGCATCGGCCTGCGGACTGAAAGGTCCCAGGTTCGATTCCGGTCAAGGGCATGTACCTTGGTTGCGGGCATATCCCCAGTAGGGGGTGTGCAAGAGGCAGCTGATCGATGATTCTCTCTCATCGATGTTTCTAACTCTCTCTCCCTCTCTCTTCCTCTCTGTAAAAAATCAATAAAAATATTAAAAGAAAACAAAAGAATGAAACCTTGCCATTTGCAAGAGCATAGATGGACTTAGAGAGTATACTAAGTGAAATAAATCAGAGTTAAATACCATCTGATTTCATTTATATGTGGAAAATAAAAGAGTGAAACAAATGAACAAACAGAATAGAAACACTCAGAAATATAAAGCTCAGACTGATAGTCGCCAGATGTGTGGGGGGTTGGGAGGCTGGATGAAAAAGGTGAAGGGATTAAGAAATACAAATCGGTAGTTCCAAAATAGTCATGGGAATGTAACTACAACATAGGGGATATAGTCAATAATCCTTTATAATAAAGATGTAATATGCAAATGGTCATTATGCCGTGAAGTGTGATGACCGATAGTGTAATGACCAGATCTGATCATGGATCAGTAGGAGGGTGAGGCAGCGAGCTACAAGCGGGTGGCACAGAGCTACAGGAGGGGGCGGGGAAGCAAGCTATGAGGGGGATGGAGGGAGCTACAACAGGGTGGAGCAACAGGCAGTGAGCTATTGGCGGACGGATTCGTGCGCAGGGCGACTAGTATGTTGCCAGGTGGGTGGGTACGTGCTTATTGTGTGTGTGTGTGTGTGCAATCTTCCTTTCAGTTGTAACAAATATTTTCCTTTTTCACAGGGTTTCGCTGATAAAGTTCTGACTAGGACTCATGGCCCACTTTAGTTTGGACATTAGTTGTTTTTTTAAGGAAGGCAATGAAATCAAGCTAATCAAATCACATCCACCTTTAAAACTGACTGCCAGGTAATTTAACAGTATTCATGGATGCCACTGGGAAAGCAGAGCAAATCTGGAGGGAGGAAGAAAAAGACAGAATCAGGAGGCAGAAAGAAAGGTGGAGAGAAAAATTAAAATGTGGAAGGAAATGGAGATTATCATTGCCAATTGCTGGCGCTTCTCCAAGGCTTTGTCATCCTTAAACCTGTTACTCCTGAGATGGCCCCTGACTGCCCCCTCGTGGCTGGTAGTACCTGCTTCATAGCCGACACTAACAACAACAACAACAAAAAACACCAAAAAACTTAGTGACAGAGCGTCCTATAGAAACCACACTGCTCTTTCCTGCCCTGCCTCTCCTAATTTAACAAAATCCTGTTATTCTTTTATTTTTATATTTTATTGATTTTTTTACAGAGAGGAAGAGAGAGGGATAAAGAGTTAGAAACACCGATGAGAATCATCGATCAGCTGCCTCCTGCACACCCCCTACTGGAGATGTGCCCGTAACCAAGGTACATGCTCTTGACTAGAATCGAACCTGGGACCCTTCAGTCCGCAGGCCAACGCTCTATCCATTGAGCCACACGGATTTCGGCAATCCTGTTATTCTTAGAAGACAAATCCTCTACGAGTCCCTGTCACGGACTAATTACCACGTGGCAACAGTCAATCCTTTACAATCTATAACCCAAAGAACCGGATTACCATCCCAGGTACCCTAGGCCCATTTCTCCCTGCGAGGAACGGGTAGAAACTGTCTGAAGAAGCTCTGAATCTGACTTTAAAATACACATTACACATCCGCCAGCACCCATGATATGTTTCAACCTATTTCATTGCCAACGACGCGCCAGGCCCTGAGGCGCCAGGGGAAACAACAGCGGGCGCAGGTCCTGCCTTGGGGGTGTGGAGGGAGAAGTTACCGAGAAAGCACATAAATGAGAACAAACCTCCTGCGATAAAACACCATGAAGGAAATGAGAGATTTCTCTGAGGAAGTGACGCCCCACTAACAACCAAGCAAAAAAAAAAAAAAAAAAAAAGCTGCACTGGAAGGAACACCACATCTGTGACTTTTTCCTTTAACGGGGCCCCATATTTCACGTGACTTGTCTCCCTAGTGAGGGAGGCAAGAAACATGAAATCAACCATGTCACTCACCACCGCCTGAGAGCCAGCGGGGAGCGCGGGAAGCCCAGGCCCCGCCACCACCTCGCACCGCTTCCGGTCCTCATGTGCTCAGTAAGCTGTGTGCGCATGCGTGTGCACGTGCCCGGCTCCGGCGCATGCGCAGGGCCATGAGGCCGTTGGCATGCGTGCGTGCGTGCTTGCGTGCGTGCTTGCGTACCTGCGTGCCTGGCAGGCCTATCTCCGGAGAGGGATGCCTCGGCTCCTCCACCTGTGTCTGCTGTGGCTCGGGCTCCTGCTGGTTCGGGGATCCCAAGAGCAAAGCTACAGGAGCAGAGCCAGGAAGCTGTGCGGCAGGCAGCTCCTGAGCGGAATAGTCAAACTCTGCGGCGATGCCGACTGGAGCCACGTCAGGGAGAACACCCCTTTCCAAAAGCAGGACACGGAGACGGTGGGAAGCTTCCTCCCTGGCCGGTGGAAAAGCTCCCCAAACACTTCCCGGGTCCGGGGCAGAGGCACAAAGGCAGGTAAACCTCTGAACCCAAGGCGTGTTGGACTCTCTGTGTATTTCCTACCCCTGAATCTGCTCTGCCAGAGGGCGAGCTTCCCCAAGAAATGGAATTTGTGCCTAGATTTAAAAAAAAAAATAATTATTATTATAATCCAGTGTATTTTGGATATACAAAACCTCTAAGATAAGGTGACCAGATCGTCCCGCTGTTGGCGAGACAGTCCCGATTTTTAACAATTTGTCCCACCTCCTGCGGCGTTTTAAAGTCCCGATTTTTGGACTTTTGGATTTTTAGCAATTTGTCCCGCCCAAAGCGGGACGATCTGTGGTCACCTTACTCTAAGAAGCTCTTTTTATTTTTTTTAACTGAGGGGAAATAAATGTACATCTGTAAGTCTACACGTTTATGTAAGGATGCTGCTTCGTCCCTAGCTTTCCCTTTCCGGAGTCCCCTTGTCACCTGGTAAACTCCATGTGTCCTTCCAAGGCTAACCTAGGTGTCATTTTTCCCTGTGAGGTGGTCACTGACCCTGCCATGGCTTCTCCATTCTCCATCCTAGCGCGGCAGTAACACTCAGCTCTACCGGACCATCTTCGGACCGGCCTCGAACTGGCCTGGCCCTGTGCGAGGAGCAGGAAAGGACCATTGAGGTTGCTAAAATATAAAGCTCCTCCCACCCTCCACCCCGCTCCCACTTCCCGCCCCTTTTTCTTGTGCATTATCTCCAGGGTCTATTGTCCCACCAGACCTCACTTAAAAGTTCAAAATTGTTGAGAATTTCAAGACTGCGACAATTGAGCATTAAACACAATTTAGGGTCCTTCGAAGCACCATGTCTGTGCACCTGTACGAGCCTTTTTTCCAGTAACTCCAGCCTATACTATCCCATAGTATAGCGGCTATCTCAGGCATGGTTTTTTGTTGTTTTGTTTTGTTTTGTTTTGTTTTTTACGTGCCTAACAGAGGGCCTAACGCACTGTATGTGCTTAATATATACATTGAAGTCATCCTGAATGCTTTTAAGTAGTTTTTAGGAAGAATATTCTTGTTTCAGAGCTGTTACCTTCGAACTATATTTTTTACATTTTGTGACTAACACATTTTAGTCCCATAGGGTTTACCCTTTTTTTTTCAAAAAGAAAATGAATTTTATTTATAGGTGGTCCACAGCATAGTTTGATCAAAATTATTCTTTTTAAGAAAAAGACATGTATTTGGATAAATTTTGCAAAAGTCAAGATTTCTGAAATTAAGACTAGGAGTATCGTGCCAAAAAAAAAAAAAAAAAAAAAAAAAGAAAGAAAGGAAAGAAAAGAAAAAGGAAAGAAAGAAAGAAAAAGAGAGATCTTAATGTAGATAACTGAAACAAAGTAAGAAAGTGCCTGTCTCATTGTAGGCACTCATTAACTTATTTTTTAATGAAGGAATGAATGAATGAAACTTATTGTATTAGTGCTGCAATGGGAATGAAACTTTTAAAGACAGACAACATAGGAACCATCAGACTGAATCTTGACCATTTTCCACCATCAAACCTACCTACATACAAACTCACTTTATCCTGCTCTTATAAAGGAAGAAGTGTTTCCCTGAAATCTTCCACTTGTACATTAATATAGTGATTTTCAAAAAAAAAATATATATATATATTATAGATTTTTTACAAAGAGGAAGGGAGAGCGACAGAGAGTTAGAAACATTGATCAGCTGCCTCCTGCCCAAATATCCCCCTCCCCCTTGGGAATGTGCTCGCAACCAAGATAAGTGAACTTGACTGGAATTGAACTTGGGACCCTTCAATCCGCAGGCTGACACTCTATCCACTGAGCCAAACGGTTTCGGCTAATTTAGTAATTTTCACACTTTAAAGTGCATATGAATCACCTGGTAAGTACAGTTACTATACAGATTCTGATTCAGTAGGTTTGGGGTGGGACTAGAGAATCTGTAGTTTTACAAGCTTTCAGATGGTGTTGATGCTGTTGGTTGGATGATGCTTTTTTTAAAAATATATATTTTTTTTTTATTGATTTTTTTACAGAGAGTAAGAGAGAGGGATAGAGAGTTAGAAACATCGATGAGAGGGGAACATCAATCAGCTGCCTCTTGCACACCCTCTACTGGAGATGTGCCTGCAACCAAGGTACATGCCCTTGACCGGAATCAAACCTGGGACCTTTTGTCCACAGGCCAAGACTCTATCCACTGAGCCAAACCAGTTTCAGCTGGATGATGCTTTTTGAGCAACATGGGTCTAGTACACCTCTCTATCTGTTCCTTATTCTTGTCTTCCAGACATGCAAGGAGAACCTTCACTTTCTACATCGTGTTGGGTGGGCATTTCTCTCACATCTAATACTGTGCTTTCACTACCTATATTACAGTCAAAATTTTACTTTCAGATATCCAAGCTCGAGTTTGTTATTTTAAAAGAGTTTGGAATCACTCTTCTTGACAAAACCTGCTATGGAGACAATTTTCTTAATTAAAAAAAAAAAGTCACCAGGATGTATGGCTCAGTAGTTGAGTATCAACATATGAATCAGGAGGTCATAATTCAATTCCCAGTTAGGGCACATATCCAGGTTTCAGGCTCAATCTCCAGTGAGGTGTGTGAGGGAGGCAGTTGATCAATGATTCTCTCATTGTTTGTTTCTATCTCTCTACCCCTCCCTTCCTCTCTGAAATCAATGAAAATATTTTTTAATAAAATAAATCTCTTCCCCTTTTTCATTAATTTTCCCAACCCCTCTACCATCTAGCAACTGTCCAAATGTTCTTTGTATCTATGAGTGTTTCTGTTCTGCTTGCTTATTTTGTTTTTTTAGATTCCATATATAAGTGAAATCATCTAGCATTTTAATCTTCTGGTGATCTATTTACCTCCAACAATGGGAAAGATAGTTTGGTACACTGATATTTAAAAAAATTTTTTTCAAAGCTACTCATACATATCTTGAATCTGATATTGTGTACTTTTTGTTAGTGGATCCTGAATGTATGGGCCATGTCTCCAAAACCTACTCCAAAATGTGGCTCCATGATGTTTCTAAATTCTGACTGAGTATATTGTGCTTCCCAGGTTTTAGTGCAGGTGAAACCATTAATATTTCATCACCAGCTTTTCATAATCTATAATACCTGTTCCAGCTATCTATATATATAATCTATATATATATATAAAAGGCTAATACACAAAGTGTGCCCTTGGGAGTTCAACTGGGAGACCAGGAGTTCGATCACTTGCTATGACATGTGCTGACCACCAGGGGGTGGCACGGAATAAAGGAAGGCCCGGGCCAGCAACCTGCAGCCAGGGAAGGGAGGCCCCAGCCACAATTGGCTCTGATTGCTGGCCAGGCCTAGGGATCCTACCCATGCACAAGTTTCATGTACCGAGACACTAGTATTGACCATATTCCCATATCTGGATATTCATTCATGTATTCTTCATTTTTGTTTGCTCATTAGATATCATTATCAAAACTGGGCATGAGGGCCCCCTCTCTATATTAATTCAAAAACATTTAAGTGCCTCTTATAGGCTAGGTATTTTTCTTGATAATCTATAGCCTATATATATAAACGGCTAATATGCTGTGACCTTCCCTCTGTCCAATGGGTCACTATGACATGCACTGACCTCCAGGGGGCAGATGCTCAACACAAAAGCTGCTGTGATGCACACTTGCCATTTATAGAGAAACAGCAGCACAGACCTGGCTGACAAAGCAACACTTAGCTTCCCCCAAGTGGGACACAGGCCCTGCCACCACCCCAGAGCTACAGCCCACCAAATCAGCAGATGCTGCTGAGACCCCATGGCCAGCCTGGAAACAGTCACTGTGGGTGCTGGGTAATGACGTCACATAGTAAAGCCTGGCTTCCTTTCCCTAGCAACTAGCTCCTTGCAGTTTCTTCAGTCCAGGAACATGACTTGCTTTATACCCCGGTGAAAACATTTACACTATAACCAAATGTCTGTGAAGGTTTTCTCATGCCTCGTCTCATTTGATCCTCACAGAAGTCCTGGAGTAGGTGGATAGGAGACTTGGTGGAATCCTATTTTCTTTTCATTAGCCAGAAAAACTGAGATTTAGAAAGCTTAGAAACTTGACCTGACTGAAAAGAAGAAATAGTGGAACTTGAAAATTACTTCAGGTTTTCTCACTGCACAGAATATAAACGCTGCTGCAGTTAAATATTTTATCCTTTCTTCTCCCTGTGTGATCTATAATAATAATCTGCTTCATGTTGATATTTACTTCTGTGTTGCTGACAATTACCTAAAAGAGAAGTTGGGATGCTTCACTGGGCTGGAAAAAGTTTAGCTAAATCAGAAAGCAGGTCTAATTAAGCAAGTTTATTCTATATCTATAAAAGGCTAAGTTGACTTGTGCATGCATGATGCATATAAAGCTCTCGCTGGCACCAATCACATGTTTGTTTTGATCTGTCATTGTCAGTCATGAATTTGGCTGACACTTCTATTATAGAGAAAGAGCGAATAGCAATATTAAAATATTTCTTCTAATTAATTTCCTTTCAATGTGCACAAATCCATATACTAAAGCACTAGAAGGCATATAAAGGTGAATGAACAGTTTCATTCAGGAAGAAGGAAAGGCTCCTGTCCTCATGAAGCTAGCAGAATAGTGAAGATAGATAATAGACATAAGTAAATTATACAGTATGTACATATACATACAACAAGGATGAGCATTGAAAACATGATGCTAAGTGAAAGAAACCTGACACAAAAGGCCTTATGTGGTATGACTAGGTTTTCATAATAGGAAAATCCATAGAAACAGAAAAATTAGTATCCAGGGACTGAAGGACGTGGGAAATGGGAGAGACCACTGATGGATATGGGATTTCTTTTGGGGGGTGATAGAAATGTTCTGCAATTACATAGTGGTGATGGCTGTACAGTCTTGTGAATACACTAAAAAGTCGCTGAATGCTTAAAATGCTGACTTTTATGGCTTGTGAATATCTCAAAGAATGTTTTTTGCATGTCTCAGCCTTTTTATAGGAAAACACTGCTTACAAGTATTTTATTTTAAAATATATATATTACTGCTGAATAAACATTTTATTGTTTAAAATGTGATTACTTGTTTTTTTAAAATAATTTACTGACTTTAGTATTCTAATATTATAATTAAACTTACAGCTAGAGGATGGTTTTAATATAGTAGAATTTTTCTCATCTCTCAACAGTCTCTTCTACTGCCTCTCAGGAAGAAGCAACAAACAATTTGGAGATACAGTCACCTACTGAGTATCAGTATAACAAGGCCAACTTGCTACCTAGTAAGATAAGAGAACTTGCCTCATCACGAGCTATCAGTTCATATGTTCATGAGATTGTAGAATTTCAGAAGCAAAATACAAACAAAATTAAAACCTTCAGGAAATTGTTTTGGGGGAATCATCCACAAAGGGTACGCAGAGGATATTCAGAAAAGTGTTGTCTTAGAGGATGTACAGAAGAGGAACTTATTATTGCATGCCTTCCATATATTCATTATAAAAACTTAAAAAAAGGAGTCTCAGTTGTGACTAAGATGTATTAATCATCATAGGAATTATACTGACTTAATAAAAGCTTAATATTTTACATTTATTTATTTACTTATTTATTTTTATAATTGTCCTTGTAGGTTCTCTGTTGTGAACACCTAAATGTACTGCGAGCACCTGACAGTAGTTTATAGTGATAATAGGATCAGTATTTTCTTTGTTGACCTCTATTTTTCATTATTTTTATAATTGAAGACGTTATTGGAGATGGCATGATCCATGTAGACATTTAAGAACTACCTGTTCATCCTATAAAAAAATTTTTTTCTTGTCGAAACCAGTATGGCTCAGTGGATAGAGCGTCAGTCTGCAGACTGAAAGGTCCCAGGTTTGATTCTGGTCAAGGGCATGTACCTTGGTTGCAGACACATTCCCGGTGGTGGCTGTGCAGGAGGCAGCTGGTTGATGTTTCACTCTCATCGGTGCTTCTAGCTCTCTATCCCTCTCCCTTCCTCTCTGTGAGAAATCAATAAAATACTTGTTTTTTAAAAAGTTGGAGGTATCACACTAGCTGATATCAAAATATACTAGAAGTCCATAGTAATAAAAACAGCATGGTACTAGAACAGGCATCTAGATCTGACAAAAAACAGACATATAGATCAATGGAACCAAATAGAGAACCCAGAAATAAACCCATACCTTTATGGCCAATTAATATTTGACAAAGGGGGCAAGAACATACAATGGTGCTGGGAAAATGGAACAGATATTTGCAAAAAAATGAAACTAGATCAATTTATATAAAAGAATAAACAAAATGGATTAAAGACTTAAATGTCAGATTGAAATCATGAAAATCCTAGAAGAAAACATAGGCAGTATAATCTCTGACATTTCTCAACGTTTTTTCTAATGTATCTTCTCAGGCAAGGGAAACAAAAGAAAAAATAAACAAATGGAATTAAATCAACTAAAAAGTTTTTGTACAACAAAGGAAACCACCATCAAAATGAAGAAATAATCTATTGAATGAGAGAACATATTTGCCAGTGACACATCTGATAAGGGATTAATATAAAAAATTATAAGAACTCGGACAACTAGCACCAGAAAAACAACCCAATTATAAAGTGGTCAGCAGACCTGAATAGACACTTCTCCAAGGAAGACATAGATGACCAAAAGATGTAGGAAAGGTTGCTCAATATCACTAATTGTCAGAAAAATGCAAATCAAAATCAAAATGAGATATCAACTCATAGCTGTCAGAATGGCTATCATCATTAGATCAACAAGTGTTGGAGAGGATGTGGAGAAAAGGAAACCCTTGTGCACTGTTGGTGAGAATGTAGATTGGTGCAGCCACTTAGAAACAGTATGGAGTTTCCTCAAAAAATTAAAAAAATGAAACTGTCTTATGACCCAGCGATTCCACTTCTGGGGATTTATCCAAAGAAACCCAAAATACAAATTTGAAAGAACATATACACACCCATGTTCATTTCTGCATTATTTGCAATAGCCAAGATACAGAAGCAACATAAGTGCCCATCAATAGATGAGTGGATTAAAAAGGCAGTGGTAAATACATACAATGGAATATTATTCAGACATAAAAAAGGATGAAATCTTACCAGCATGGATGGACCTAGAAGGTATTATACTCAGTGAAGTAAGTCAGAGAAAGACAAATACCATATGATTTCACTTATACATGAAATCTAAAGAACAAAATAAAATTTAAACAGACTCAGACAAAGAGAGCCAACTGGTAATTGCCAGAGGGGAGTGTTGGGGACTGGGTGAAAGAGGTGAAGGGATTAAGAAATACAAGTACAGATTGGGAGTTACAAAATAGTCACAGGGATTAAACTCAAAAGAATACAATTATAGTCAACAATATTGCAGTAACTATGTCTGGTGTCAGTTGGGGAATTGGAAATATCGAGGGGAATACCATGTAAACTATATGATTGGTTAATCACCAAACTGTACACTTGAAACCAATATACAATAAAATTTATAGGAAAAAAGGCCATGGCCACTGGGTGGGGGAAGAGGTAGCCTGAGGGAGGAGAGCAGCACTGGAAGTAGGAGGATGAATGGCCCTGCCCTATCCAATTTTAAGGAAATCACAAAGAAGGAAATATTTTAAACTTGCCCTCAGATCCATCATCTGGTTCTCTTTATTCCTTTATTATAGAATCAAGTCTTCATGTGGTATAAATTTCTGTCTGAAGAACAGAACATCCTTTATTATTTCTTGTGGTACAAAAAGCTAATAAGTTTTCTCAGCTTTTGATTTTCTGAAAAAGTTTATTTTGGATGATATTTTATATAGAAGTCTTTACTTTGAAGGGTATTTTTATTTTGGATATTTTATATAATTCCAAGCTCATAGTTTTTAATGCACCTTGGTGTGACTGGATTGTGTTCCTTCTACTTAGGGCTCATGGTCTTTAATTTGTGTGTTTATTATTGGGAATTTAGAAAAATTTCACTCTTCAAAACTTTAAATTCTCCTGGAGCTCCATTACACAGATTATACTGCCTGATAGTATCCCCCAGGTCAGGGGCAGTCTGGTTTTTGCTTGCTTGTGACTTCTCCTTGTGCTTCAGTTAGATAGCTTCTATTGGAACCAATATAAGACTCACCTCATTTGTTTCCCTTCTCTTAGGGAAGCACAGTTGTGTCTAATATCCAATATCTAAATTTAGGTGCTTTGTTTCCTTCTCCACTTCCTTATAGAGCTGTGGTTCTCAACCTTTCTAATGCCACAACCCTTGAATACAGTTCCTCATGTTGTGGTGATCCCCCAACCATAAAATTATTTTCGTTGCTACTTCGTAACTGTAATTTTGCTACTGTTATGAATCATAATGTAAATATCTGTGTTCTCTGATGGTCTTAGGCGACCCTGCTAGCGGTTCTCAACCTGTGGGTTGCAACCCACAGGTTGAGAACCGCTGCTGTAGAGCCTAAGACACGGATATTTACATTTTACGATTCATAGCAGTAGCAAAATTACAGTTATGAAGTAGCAATAAAAGTAATTTTATGGCTGGGGGTCACCACCACATGAGGAACTGTATTAAAGGGTTGTGGCATTAGAAAGGTTGAGAACCACTGTAGAGCATGGGCAAACCTGGTTCAAGTTATGCCATGTGGTCAGAAGCAGACAATTCAGCTTAATTTGTAAGGAAAGAATAATCAAATCAAACATGGGCATAGCATCAGATTACCATTTTTAGATAGCAATTTGATTTCAAACTTCAGTGAGAAAGTAGGTAATCAGAGTAAAAAGCTCTCATGTTTCCATTACCAAATCTATAAACCTACCTGTAATTTACTCCATTTTACCATCTTCCCCCCTAGTTGTAAAAGTGTCCGTGTTCTATTAAAGAGATATTTCTCTCTTGTGCTCTGAATTCCATTCAAAATTTCACTCCTTTTATAATTCTCTCCCCCACATCATCCATCACTCTTTCTCTGACTCAAGCCATCACCATATAAAAGTGGTTTAAGATCTCCCAATTAAAAACTTCACACCCACATGAAGTTTCACCTTATTTTCCTGCTTTCCTTTAGGGAAAAACTTCTCAAAAACAGTTGTCTATATTTACTGTTCCACTTCTTTACCAATCTCATAACTTCTTCAACCTGATAGTCTGGAAGCTTATCCTTTGAAGTTATCCAACAGTTCAGTGCTACTATTACTTGGTCCTTCAGTAAATACATTCAACAGAGTTGACCACTTCTACTTAAAGCACATTGTTCTCTTGCTTTCATGAAGCCACACTCTGTCATGTCACTGACCATTCTTTGCCTCCTCATCCTCAATTGTCTCAGGTTTTGATCCTTTACTTGCTTCCTTTTTTAAACAACATTTTATGTTACCTTAATTTTATCCATTATTTAAATGACTACCTATGTGACATTTCTACTTGGATATCCAATAGGCATCTCAAATTTACCACTTTCAAAATGGAATTCTTCTAAACCCACCCTCCCTCATAGCAACTAGATGAATGGTATTTGCTCAAACCAAAACCTAAGCGACATGCTTAGTTTTGTTTTTTTCTAACTCCTCCCATCCAAGTTATCAGTAGCATACTTTTCTGCTTCTTTCCATTTCTATCCCCACCTCTCTAGTTCAAGCTACAAGGTACTTTCAGAAAATGGCGAGTAAACTAGTCTAGCTGGAATGGAAAGTTATTGTTGATGAATAGTGCAATTAAAATCCAGGTAAGGCAGTTTAGGACATGTTTTAAAGGTCTTCAAATGAGACAGAATCCTCGTTTACAAAGAGGAGCAGACGAAGTTATCCTTCCTGAGCGTAATTCTCCTGAAAAGTTGCTGAAACTGGTTTGGCTCAGTGGATAGAGCGTCAGCCTGTGGACTGAGAGGTCCCAGGTTCGATTCTGGTCAAGGGCATGTACCTTGGTTGCGGGCACATCCCCCGTAGGGGGTGTGCAGGAGGCTACTGATTGATGATTCTCTCTCATAGATGTTTCTAACTCTCTATTCCTCTGTTGAAAATCAATAAAATATATATTTTTTTAAAAAAATAATTCTCTTGAAAAGTGGCACATTTTCAATAACTTAAAATATATTGGCATTAACAGTTGTTAATATTATAATAAAAGGATGCTAGTTAAAGGTATATGATGGTAATACAAGAAGACAGATGGGAAAGGTAGTAAAATGATGCTATCTTTAAAAAGCACTTTCTTCCTGTTGTTCAATCAACACAGCAGGCCCTACTCCAGACTCTTTTGATGTTAAAATCTGGCTCCACCTCTGGTGACCCTCTGGGTGTTGAACTTTATTCTGCAGGAAATGGGGTGAGTTGAAAAGCTTTTGAGCAGAAGAGTGACATGGTTAAAACTGTATTATGGGAATAATGTTCTGACAATATAGGACTAATGAGAAAATGTAGAAAAAGTAATTAGGTTATAACAATAGAACAAACATAAAATTATAAGGGAGTGCAAACTATGAGATTGATGGAGGCGATGAGGAGAAAGATTGGAAAGAGTAAAAGAAATA